CGAGCGCGCTTCGGCCGAGCGCGAGGCGTTGCGCGGCGCCGAGGCGCTGGCCGAGGCGCGGGGTTCGGAGCAGCGGCTCAGAGACAAGGCGCGCGGCCGGGTGTGTGTGTGTGTGTGGAAGCGGAGGGCCGGGTAGTCTCTTGGAAGAGGAGGGCTGCAAGAGGAGGGCCCCTGTAGACTGACGAGGCCCTCTGCGAGTGGCGCCCCTAAGGTGGCAGAGCACGTTAATTTAATTTTAACTTTAATTAATGCGCCTCAGGTGGCAGAGCACCTCGCATCGGAGCGCAGCGCGGCGGAGCGCGCGGCACAGGCCGCCGCGCGAGAGGCGGAGGCGCGAGGCGCGCTCGAGGCGGCCACTGCGGCCGCCGCCGCGTTGCGCGAGCAGCTGGCGGCGGCCAAGCAGGAGGCCGAGGCGGCGCGCGTGGCGGAGGAGCTGGCGCGGCGGGAGGCGGTGGGCAAGGCGGTGGACGAGTACGTCGCCGCCGTCGAGGTTTCGGCGGAGGGGCAGCGCGCTCTCCGCGAGGAGCGAGACGCATTGCTGGGCCAGTTGCGCGATTTTACCGAGCGCGCCGCCGTGCTGCCGCCTTTCTACGCACTTCGTGCACTCGCCGCGGCAGGTGTCGGTGGACGCGTCTGTGACACGTCCGTGACCGCACAGGCCCAGAGGATATTTGCCAGCGACCACGTGCCGGACGATTTTGTGGACGCGTTCGTGTCGGACCGCGACGGCGACTTCCCCTCGGGCGAGCTCGCCGAGAAGGCTGGCCAGAAGGCGGCGCAGGCGGCCGAGAAGATCGCAGAGGCGGGGCTGGGCAACATCGCGTCGGTCGCGTCCGTCGCCCTACGCAAGGGCACGTCGCCGCCCGCTGTCGGGCGGTGGGCACAGGGCCCGCTGCCCTCTCACGCTCCCTATCCGGCGGCTGTAGGCGCGCCGCTCGCACAAAAGGCGTGGGCGTCATGGTTTGGCGGAGACGGCGGCGAGGCGCCGCCCGATGATGAGTTCAAGCCGGAGGACCTCAAGCGGCTCCTCGCTGGCAACGGCGGCGGCGGCGGCGGAGGATCGGCCGAGGGCGATGCTTTTGACAGGGCTGCGGCGCAGGTGGCAAAAGGCGCAGCGGCGCCCGCCACGAATCCTCCCGCAACTGACGTTGGGCCCGCGGCGGCGCCCAGACCCGACCCTGCGGTGGTCGCCGCCACCCCGGGGGTCCCAGCAGCCGCAGAGGCTGGGCCCAAGTCCGACGTAAGAACGTGACGAGTGTCATCGGGAGACTGTGTAGTTCGTCTGGGGTTTTACGTACGGTTTTTGTGTGTGATTCCTGGATAAAGTGGGATTTCTTCCGCGCGCCCAGTCCACTGCACTGTCCATCTGTCCAGCGGCAGCGCGGCCGCGGGGAGAGGTGCGTCGACCCTTGCCATGATCACCGTACACCGACCCTGGTCCACGCCTGCGCGCGGCCTGCGCGCGAGCCGTGTGTGGGAACGCGGGGGTGCACATCGATCAACAGCGAGCGGGTTTATTTTTTATTGGTAGCAAGACGATTAGTTGTTACCCGGTATGTGCGCCACCGGCCACCGCTTTCCCCCGCTCCGACGATGGTCGATGCGGGCTCAGACTACAGACCACCTCAGTCCTCAATAATCCTCTCAGACAGACGTCAGAGCGGGACCAGAGGAAGAGGGGTCAGTCGGTCAGAGCTCAGAGAGGAGAGATGTCACGGAGAGTCTCACGGAGAGCCTGCGAAGGCTGCGTCACCCGGGGGGCCGCACACTCTCTTATAATAGACACTCTTCGAGTCACCGTCACGCGTCGGTCAGACTTCAATGTGAGCCGCCGCGGCGCCGATGTGCACATAATATGCAATGGTATGCCAATGTACGACGTGCGGTGCGTGTATGTACAGAGGGGGCGCGCATGCACATAAGAATTTCTTGATCAC